CTGCAGCCCCGGCCTCGGGGCCCTGCTCGCCCCGGAGCATCCAAGGGCTCCTTAGGGCGCCGGTGCCGGAGGCGGCTTCACGGCCGGGCCAGGGGGCGTCGGGAACCGCACAGGGTTGGGACGCGTCCGAGCCGCCCGTTTCCTTGGCTCTTCGGCCAGCCAGGGGCGAGTCGGGCGCGGCGGGGAGTTGAGGCTAGGCGAGTGGAGGCTGCTGGAGTTCGGAGGAAGAATGGCCTTAGGCGGGCGGACGCCGGCCGGAGGTCTCTGCCCCGCGGGGAAGGGGTGTGCGGTGCCTGCCGGGGCTGGCGGCGGACGTGCGGGGATGGAGGGCTCCGGGTGGGGCCGGCGCAGGTGACCCGCCTAGGCCCACTCCGAGGGAGAGGTAGTGGCTGTCTTGGCGAGTGTGGAAGGGGTTAAGGGGGGTGACAGCGATGGACAAGTGTGCGAAGAGCAAACTAGTTCACCTTTCTAACTGGCCCACTTGAGGTCTAATGGCGAAGGGTTGGCAGTGGTGCGGATGCCGAGCAGCACCCTCTGCCTCCTGCCGTTTGTTATTGGTGTTCTCTTGTGCCAAGTGGGAGAGTGCACCCCTTTTTTTTTATGGCGGGGGGGGGGGGGGAGACAACAACGACGGGGATTTGAGAAACTAATTGAGAAAGCAACCTTAACGGAAAGGACACTTATGTTCTTAGAACTAGTGTAGATCAGGAATAGTCATGTATGAAAAGGAGTGGATGGGAATAAATGATATTTACGAGAAGTCTTTGCCGGGTTGTATGCCACGGTGCCTGTTCAGCAGAGTTAACATTGGCGAGTAGCGTTATGGGTAATTTTAATCTTTGGGATTAGTATATTCACCTGCATCAGATTTGCTACCCTCATTGTATCCTATTACATCTGAAATTTACATTCCTTGTGTGCACCCTGGTGAGAGAATGATGGGAGACTGAAAGTGGCTGTATGCAAAGAGCAGACAGGCCTGGGATTTAAAAATGCCGACACATAGTCATTCATTTGTTCAAGGGTATCTTGATGGATAGTTGCTGATGATTCTGATTCACATGGACTATCTGGTGGATAAACGGAGAGCTGATGTTTTAAATTAATGAATTTAGTTTGTTTTGAGACCGTTCAAGTCTTGTAGGGCTGACTGGCCTGGAACTCCCCGAGTAACTGGTGCAGGGATTGCATGCTTGCACCACCATACCTGGCGTCCTGTTTGATTGGGGACATTTTTTGTTGGTTTTGGTTTTGGTTTTTTCAAGACAGGGTTTCTCTGTGTAGTTTTGGCGCCTGTCCTGGATCTCGCTCTCTAGACCAGGCTGACTTCGAACTCACTGAGATCCACTTGGTTCTGCCTCCCGAGTGCTGGGATTAAAGGCGTGCGGGAAATGTTTTAATATAGCCTCTCATAAATTTATTGGATGAGCCAATTCTTATTTGCCTGGGCTCGGTCTCTGACTTATTTAGATAGGGGTAAGAATTACAGAAGAAATAAAACTAACTCACTAGAGAGAAATCTTATTTTCTTACTATATTAGAGTCCAGTGGCAGTTTAGTTTAATATTTATAGCTTCCAGTTGCTTTGTCTCACGTGCACCTGTTAATGAAAATCAAAGTGTATGTCTGTGTGTTGTTTGTTTATGCATATCTAGAAAGTGATTCCTTGCCATACCAAAACACTTTATCTTTTAGAAAAGACTTGCCATATGTTGTAATACTCCTTCTGAGAAGCTGTAATGCTAAGAATCACGATTCTCCCTGCCATTAACTGGCATTTAGAACATGTTCAACATTTCAGTGCTTCAGTTTCCTCATCTATGATGTTAGAAAAACTTCTGACCTCACAGGTTTGGTTGTTGTGAGTTAGTAGTTATGAAATTGGACAGGGGCTGCAGCCCAGTTGGTATAGAGCTCAGCTAACATGCATGTAGCCCCAGGTTTGATTCCCCAGCACCACATAAAAACAGACACATGCCCACTCAGGAGTTGGAGGCAGGACGATTACAAGTTCAAGCTTGTCCACAACAGTATCTTGAGTTTGAGGCCAACCTGGGGTATTCATGACCCTGTTTTAAAAAAAAAAAGTTATAAAATTACTTTAAAGAGATAAAAATGATTGTGTTTCTGTGAGATAGTAATGGCTTATCTGCAAATCTCTTACATAGTTAGAAAAAAAATGTATTCGGATTATAACACCACAATATACTTGTTGCTAATATACTTACATAGCTATGATTCTCTCCCATCAATTTGAAAAGAGAATATATTGCCTGGCATGGTAATCTTAACACTAACTGCAGATCTCTGTGAGTTTGAGGCCAGATTGTTCTACATAGTGAGTTCCAGGTCAGAAAAGGTCTAAATAGAGAGACTGTCTCAGAGAAGAAGGAAGAGGAGCAAAAGAGGAGGCGTAGATGATACGTAATTTGTTGTTGTTGTTCTTCACAGAGACAGGATTTCTCTGTGTGTAGCTCTGGGTGTCCTGGAACTTGCTCTGTAGACCAGGCTGGCCTCGAACTCACAGAGATCCTCCTGCCTCTGCCTTGTGATGCTGGGATTAAAGGCGTGAGCTACCACCACCTGGCTGATAATTCATACTTTTTTTTAAGTGGATATCTTGTATTCAAAAAAAATAAAGTAAACTTGGAACTGGAGTTGAGACAGTGGTTAAGAGTGCCTTTTGTGTTTGTAGGAGGCCCATGTTTGGTTCCCAGCACCCATACAACACACAGCTATCTGTAACTCCAGTTCTAGGGGATCTAATGTCCTCTTGGCCTCCAAGAGCACCAGGTACACATGTGGTGCACATATATACATGTAGGCACTCATACACATAAAAGAAAAATGAATAAATATATAGTGAACTAAAAATCTTGAATTTTCCTCAAAATAAAGTCAAAATGAAATGCTGGAAGTTAACTTATTTCTTTGAATTTAATTGAGTAGGAGTTTGTTCCAGGGCCAGGCACATTTAAATCATTCCATTTTTTTTAAAGCATTTAAGATTACTTATGCATTTATTTACTTGTTTTTGTGAAACGATGAATTCTTTGCCATTGTCATTTGTTTTGGAGATCAAAGGCCTTTGGATAGGCCAGGGATTTACGTAGGTGAATCCTTTAGGTTCCCCCTCTCTGTGTTTGTGTTTTATTACTCATTTTTAATCTCTCTTAGGTGTAATTTTATATTTTTATTGGTACCTGGAAGTGGTACTGTTCTTACATATTTAGTTACCTTCATCTGTTCTGTTTTACTTATTAAAAAGTACATTTATTTATTGTAAGTGTGAATGTGTGCATGCCCCTGGCATGTGTGAGGCGGTCTGAGGACAGCTTTTAGGATTTGGTTCTAGCATCTGGTTGGCAGCCTTGATTGCAAGTGCCTTTACCTGCTAAGCCATCTCACCAGCTCTCTTACCTGTTTGTCTTTGTCTTGAGATGGTATGTGTTGCCCAGGCTGGCCTCCTAGAACTGAACCAAGTGAATTTTATGTCACTGCTTCCCAAGTAGCTGGTGGGTGCCATAGCACCTGGCCTCATCTGTTTTTTGTTTGTTTGTTTGTTTGTTTTGGTTTTTTGAGCCAGGGTTTCTCTGTGTAGCTTTGCACCTTTCCTGGAACTTGCTTTATAGACCAGGCTGGCCTCGAACTCACAGAGATCCGCCCGCCTCTGCCTCCCGAGTGCTGGGATTAAAGGCGTGCACCACACCTCCTGGCTCATCTGTTCTTTTAGTTCACTTATTATATTTTATTAGAGTATGATGTAAAAGTAAGTAAAAAGGGTGATCAGAATTTACTAAGAACAGACATATTTAAGATCAGAGACTTGTATATTTTCAGTCATTCATTTGTTTATCCAGTATGAAGCACTTACCTTAAATGCTATAAAGGCATAAATAATAGCTTTTGATTTAAGTAATTTTTTAATTTAAATGAATTATAAGCACAGGTAACTAAGTTGCCAGTGTAAGTGTAATTGATATTTTGTTCTTGTGTTTGAGGATACAAAAATAATTTTGATGGTTAAGAGGACAGTTCTTCCTTTATCAGACCTCCTTAGGAATGTTGAAAAACCACTGCAGTCTAGTAGTAACTATGTGGATCATCTGTTTTTTATTTTGATATTTTTGTGGTCTTCCCCCCCCCCCCATTCTATCCTTTAGCCATTTTTGCTACCCCAGGAGCTCCTGTGGTCATTTACTTGGATAGTTTTCAGATACAACCTGTCCCATCCACCCACTTGAATTGGAAAGTCAGAGACATAACAAAAACACCGTGTGTCTGTGTAGTGTTCAGTTTAATTCCGTACTGCTGTTAACTTTCATTTAGTTGTGCTCTCAAAAATAATTTAAATTGGTTAAAATAAATTGCTTACAATTTATAGAATTCTAGAACGAACATCCCTATATAAATCTAGTCTTGTTTTATATTTGAATATTTTGAA